ATTAAGTATATTTAGATGCACTGTAAAATATTACCATGATTTCACAATATTTAGCTGTAATATTTTACAATAAATTACTGTTTTACCACTTTACAGTCTTTACCTGTAATGTTCACAATATAATACTGTAATTTTGAATTTCACAGGGAAATCAATGCAGGCACAGTTAATTACTGTGAATGTACAGGATAAATTATTACCAGGATTTCACAACATGTTACTGTATTATTTCATAGTAAAATACTGTATTCAAACCATCCTCTGTGATAACACAACAAATTAAGTGATTTTCTTGCTTTTATCGCTCTTGCTTGGCTTTAAATACTAATTTCTTTCTTTGGTACAGGTTTTACTTCAATTGAAAGGGGCACAGCTGCATGTGCTTTAAAATAAACGATGCAACATATAAATCTATGTAAATTGAAATTGTTGTCTTGGCTTATTGTTTTCAGGTGCTTCCTGGGCATTAATCCTGAGACGGGCTCGAAAGCCAAAAAGAGGCATGGCAATTTAAACCCCCATGTCAGCACATTCTTCAGAAAAATGGTTGACTTCGAGTGGATGTCTGTGTAGACATGTGTTACGTGCTGCCCTTCTTGTTTTATTTTCTGTCTCCCTACTGCGCAGGTGCACCTGAGGCCTGTACTACGAAGCCGGATTTTCGCTTAGCCGGCTGACTTCAGGGAAAACTCGGGCTTTCCGGTCCTACGACGCTGGTTCTCTTTTTAGCGGGCTAGATCTCCATGGTAACTTATGCTGAGCGGCTAACCTCCTTGGGAGGAGGTTAGGTTGCAGGCTAAGAGATCAACTCAGTGAAAGCACCGCCTGCTGACCAATCAGAGCTCCGTGTGCGGAGTTTAAAGCGATCAATTCATATTACAGGATAGAGGAAATACAGAAAAACTGCCGTTGCAGGAAAGACGGCCGGCAAAAATCAACTGACTGTGTGAACGTGAAAATGAATAGAATATCCCCTCCCATCTTCAGAGCAATCTGACTATTATAACATTAGCGTTAAGAAAGCTTACTTAAATATCTGCCACAACATAAGTAACCGGATCAGAGTAAGATTAAGTACAGTCCGCGGCACTGTGAGTGCAGACGTCGATGTGTCCCATTATCATTCATATCATATCACATCATAATGTATCATATATTTCCTTATTTGAGTCAGCTTCTTGAGCCGTATCTGGCCGTGCAACACTTACAGTGTCACATACTGTATGCAGAAGTATTATTTTAAGCAACACATTAAGTTGACGAAACACTCAGATCCACTCGTGTCTTCGACGGGGCAGTGATATCATAAACCTGTTAATGTACGCATTCAAACGCTTTTTCTTTTACCAGCTGTATTCACCTTGCAGGTGCAGCTATGTGGCTTTTATCCTGGATAAAGTGTTTAAGTCATGGATGTTTAAAGTTTAACTTCTTTATATTTGACTAATATTAAAGTTCACTTTTCATTCAGGAAGTATGACGCTGCGCTGTCAGTACGCTTGTCCATGTTTGAGATTGGTCAAATGCTCCAAATACCACCCCTTTCATGTGAACGCGCACCTAACTAGATAGGACACGGCTGGCTTGAGCGATCCACTTGATAACCAGCGTCGTAGTACAGTTTAGCGAGAGCGCGTATGTTTTGGATTGGGCCAACCGGCTAACTCAAACATATCCAGGTTAGGAAAATCCGGCTTCGTAGTACAGGCCTCTGGTCTGCCCCTGGCTCCGCCTCTGCCCAGGTGTTCCTAATTCCACTCAGCCGTGTATATATAAAGAGAAGCTGGAGGAGAAGGAGGTCTCGTCTATCCTAACGCCGGGAGACACTCTCCATACCTCTTTGCCATTTTGAGCTGTAGGCCATATTTTTGCAAATGTGTTTATGTTTAGCCTGGAGGACCTGGTAGTCCAGTTTTCGCGTCTTTATTTTGTTTCCCATATGGTTTATAATTGATTTCTGGTTAGGGGGGGGAGCTCTGGGTCCTACGGTCCGTGGTGTGGCTGGCTCGGGTTCCCTCCTTCTGTTTGTTCCATTTGGCCAGTCCTCCAGACCTCTTTTTGTTTCCCGTTTTGCTTGTGTGAGCAAACGGCTGATTATCAATAAATGCTCGTTACCAAGTACTGGTTTTTGCATGTATTCTTTCATGTTGCGGGTCTCAGCACGAGCCACTACCGCAGAGGAGAGGTTGGGGCCGTAACAACATGTCCAAGACACTGTGAAATGTACTTTGCACTTCAATGGAGTAATAAAAAGTTAAAATGGGCATTTTCTTTTTCTTTGTTTTTCTTTGTTGATTGAGCTGATTGAATTGTGTAGTTATGGTAAAATCCCAGTTAACTAGTCAAATTTCGTATTATTTACATTTTTATATTTACAGTAAATTACTGGCTACTGTGTTGCATTACTTCTACAGTAAAAGTGTGAAAATACAGGTAATTACTGTAATTTATGTACAGCAAGGTACCATAATACCACAGCTCTGTACTGCTATATCACAGTAATTCCATGGGCATGGCAACTGTAAAGTCACAGTATGTAGTTGTACTTTTATTCTAATTTACTGTAAAATATCTACAGAAAATTGCTGTGAAATATTTACAGTAAATTACTGTGAAATATTTACAGTAAATTACTGTGTAATCCATGCAACTAGTAGCCAGTAATTTACTGTAGTTTTACAGTCAACATTTTTACAGTGTGCTAATACTTATTGATAACATCTTGATTGCAGGACTTTTACTTGTAACAGAGTATTCCTACACTCTGGTACTTTTACTCAAGTACAAGATCTGAGTACTTCTTCCACCTCCATGTTGTTGCATTATAATTCACATGCAGATGACATAACATTCCTAACATTTCTGCATACTGAGGATATGGCAGGACACAAACATTTGACAAACACGGAAAAAACATATGCTGTATACAGTATGGTAAAGACAGCACAGACAAACATGCTGCGAGAATCCCTAGGGCTTACATCATTTCTTGGGAATGGTATAGGTCACGATGACCAGTTCATATCATCTCCATCTCCATTTGCCATCATCAGCAGGCCTCTTGCAGCATCCGTTATGAAACTGCCTGTCACAAAGCAGTGGCAGCTTCGGCATCAAGTGTACTATTTAAAGGTCAAATCCCCCACTCTGCACAGCACATCTTTAGCGTTGCAAAACAAGTATTTAACCTGTTAAGGCTGAGCCTGTTTTTCAGGTTACAGGCTCGAAAATGACATTCCCAGAACAAATGATTGATAAAATATGGCTTGATTCACGGTTCACGTTTTAGTTGTACAGTAAGACCTTCTTGTAAACACAATACAACACCAATTTGGGGTTCAATTTCCAAGGACACAACATGTGAACAGGAGCACCTGTTTCCACTGTTAGCAGGCCATTAAATGGGGCCTTTCTTAGGAGCAAGTTTGCTCCATCTGAAACACCAGAGTGGGAATGAACTGATATGGGCCATTTAATGGACTGATATCATTTGAAGTGGGTAGCTGAAAGCTGATACAGGTAGAGCTGGTTGGCTTCTAATCACAAGGTTGGTGGTTTGATTCCCAGGTCCTCCATACAGTATTTATTTTCCAATTCATGTGTAATGGTGAATCAGAAATACTTAAATAATAATAATTGGTTTTCTGAACCATGATTGAAGATTTAAAGCTTTGAACATGATTTAAACACTGGAGATGAAGGAAACATAATAATAACAGTCCTATACTTTTAATTACTTACGTATACTCGATCAGAGTTTTGTTTTTCAGATATTAATGTTTAGTCATATTTCTTTAAATGTATACTTTTTTATCTACATAGTGTGTCACAAGGTGGATTGTCTGCTGTTTTTACATGACTAGCCATGCACAAGAGCTGTCTGTTTCCTGAACAACGCTCTGTTACAAAACTGATAAAAAACGCTCTATAAATAAACTTTGCATGACTAGCCTGTATTATGCACACTTCCATATTAAATAGAGGAAGTTTAGAAACATGACACTACAGGTTAAAATTCACCCTTCTAAAACACTGGACTACACAAGATATAGCAATTACAGATGAGCAACTAAATTAAAGTATAGTTGTGAAAGACTTGTCATCTAAGGCTGCTGTTCTTATTAACTGCTAAATATAAAGGCTTTGTAAACAAGTGTTATCACTTATAATTTCTGATTAAACGTCGACAGTTTCCTGAAAGTTCATTTACTTTAATTGTAAAAGTAAAAAAGAGTGTTGGGGAAGTAACTTTAAAACTGTGATCAATTACTCATTGCGTATTATTCTTTTGAAGAGTAATTACATTTATTTTAGCAAAACTAAGTAGTAGTTTGGATAGTAGCTTACCAGTGGATAAAGTTAGCTAACCAATTACGAACATAAACGGCAACTTTTAAGATGCAGTCAGACACATTTCAAATTTCAGAAAGTTTATCAAGCAAAAATGCAAAACTTGCTCTGGTTGCCGGTTGTTTTATCATTTTAAATGTAATATATTTGGGGTTTAGATTGTTAATAACTCCCATTAGACACCACCTTGTGTTCTTGAAATTTGTGACAATCATCTCCTTTTATTTAAACATTTGATAAACAAATAACAATTTTCCTAACGTTCAAATAACTGGTTTGTTATGCTCAGCGAATATCCCCCTATAGATTTACAGATGTTTATCTTGATTGTGAATGGCAAAGCTCGAGGTCTGTTTACCATGCTCCAAAGCCCATGATGCCCCTGCTTATGTAAAGTCAGTGGCCACACTTGTTTGTAACTAAAGAAAGTTTCCAAAAAAACATTTGTCTTGGCAGCTCTGCTTTGTGTGGCATTAATAAAGGGAACCCTCGGATGCATTCCTCCACCCTGCCTGGCCAAAAATGGCAAGAATGCGGGGTGACTCTTTCTCATCTCTGCATGACCGGGCAGCCCTTCAGCTCGGGCTGTGGGATCTGTGACACATCGGCGGAGATACAGTGGCACACTTCACCAAAACTTCCCGGAGTGACGCGCACTGGCCGCCGCTCCTCCCCGTTAACAGCGAGAAGAGAAAGTTCCTTCTTCTGACTTTTAATTCTCCTGATGTTGCGATAGTTTGACGGAGAGAGTTTTTTCAAGCGATACAGACAGTTTGGACATGAAAGCCCTAAACTTCTAGAAAAGTTTCTTGAAAGTTTTTCCCCCCAAAGCTGCGGCATCATGAAGCCATTGCTGCGCTCCTCCAGCGACTTTCTTTGGATTCTGTTTTTCTTCTGCGCTCTCCCCAAGGTAAGAAGAAGGCTTTCATTCATTTACATTTTGCTCAGAATTGAACCAGGTGGTGTTGTTTTGTTCTTGACAACGGGGAGCTTTGTTTGCATGATGAAGGTCAGTTTTTATCACACAGGTGAGACTGCACCTGTTGCGCAGGTAGCTGCTGTGCTGTGAGGAGATTTAATTCTCTAGTCATCAGTTCGTGGAAACAAAAGTTCAGGAATAATAAAACAATTTCTTCTTAAGAAGCATATGTCATGGCTTACTATAAGGAGAAGAATGGTCCTTTGAGAGTTTTAATTGGATTCAAATGTATGTCAGCAAGTAATTCATATCGACCTTCACATGGAGAGTTTTAACAATGGAGTGGTTATTTATTAGAAGGACCAAAGAGCATTATTAAGTCTTACAATGTTGGATACTTGTGGAAATATATGCATTTTTCAGCGCTATTTTGTCAGGATTAAGTTGAGCACTCTAATGAGATGCTTTGAATTGGGAGTCTTTGTTTTGGTCAGTTATTTATTCAGGATTGCACATGTCAGCACATTTGAACAAAGCTTACATAACAGTACGTTTGAGGCATTAAGCAGACCCACCTGTCCTTGTCCCACTGGTCTTTCTGGAGAGAGAGAGAGGGAGAGAAAGGGTGAGAGAGTTTGAGAATGGCATGTGAGGATGTGTGCGGCCAACACAAAGGGGTCAGGAATGGAATGAGGTGCAGCTCATTGTCCATGTCACTCCTGCATCTCACACTAACTCACCAGTTAATTAATAGGTACTACTGTACATTGTGATGGAGTCCACTACAAACAGAAAGGTGTGCCATCTCAATTTGAAAACTGAATTTGGCTTCATGAATATTTGAATAATTACAAGATCTGTTACATTTAGAAAAGTTCATATACAAGGTCATTCTAATAATTTGTGGTTAGGCCTAGTGCTTTCATGTCATTTCATACCACAAATGAGTAAAACGTACAATATTAGCCTAAAAAATGATGTGGAGTTGAAGTATACCGTAACCTCAAATTGAAATACTCAAGTAAAGTACAAGTATGTCAAATGTTGTTACTTTCCACCTCTAACTTTCACTTTACCACTATCAATCCTATTGCAGTCAATATCCCCTAAATAACATCAGTATTGACACCACCATCAATTTGGGGTGTAGCATGGTGCAAGCTCTTTTAAAAATATTCAAGAAAGATTTTCTAGAGCATTACCAATTTTTACTTTCCTCACTAGAAAAAAGACCAAAGCACTTTTTGCTGAAGAAATACTTAGAGCCTATGCAGTCTGCCTGTCCTCTCTCTAAAGAGGAAGTGGTGCTACAGGTTTACACCGCAACACCTCTAAATGAGGAGGTTAGGGTGGATATATGCATAAAATGCTAAATGTGTGACTTGCACACCAGCATAGACCATGCTTCGAGGTTACTATTTTTACCAATGTTCATGGCTTCCCTTAACGATGTTCAACACATTTGCCACACCCTAACACAACTTCACTATGAGGGCTTCATATAAGAAAGCAATTGGCGCTGACAATCCACCTATTTACCTTTCACTGCTGTTGATGTACTAGTTATAGCTTTTAATGTCTTTACATTATTCAATGAAGCTTATTCATTTCTATACAAACTGTGAGGTTGACTTTCAGAAAAAGATTATATCTAAATACACACATACATTTTATAACTTATGCCCGTATAATTAAGAAATGAAATCAATGAAATCTAACTCTCAGTTACATACAATGTTATTATCTATTTGTCATTGCATTAAAACTGACACCGTTAATATTTAGTTCCCTTTCAGTAGGGATTTAAATTTGAGTATGATCCTATTCAAAGTATTGAAACAGTTCTTGTTTATCAAGCAAAAGAGAAGTTTAAGTTCCCGAAAAAACTAGTAAGGATCCCTGTATCAAAACAAAAAATGTGTTATTGTTTCCTAAATGTAGTTATTTACTGTTTTACAGTGAAAGCCTAAATAATTGTTTATGTTTAAATGAGGAAGTAAAGATGCAATGGGATGTGGACTTAATCAACTTCTATGAAAAGTACACGCGCTAAGCAGAAATGAACAAAGGCTACACGGGTACACATGCAAATGTGAACTTTCCACTTCCACAAGATGGCTTTAACTGTGTGCTTTAGCAATCAAGAACATTTCTACTGTGTCTTATAACTACCCATTTTTTAGGGATTGCTAATAAATATTAGAAGAAGAATCCGTAAAACATCACAAGTCAAAGTTGGGCTCAGAAGTAATTTAGTTTAGACATACGGAAGTCAGGACTTTCTTGTTTAGAAACAAATCCTGCTGCTATTCCAACATCTAGTCTTATGATGAAATTAAAGATTACATGCCTGATCATATCACAGCTTTTGGACACTTAAAATCAGCCCTCAAGGATAATATATATAATTGTGGTCAGTTAGCTTCTAGTTACACAGGAAAAACAAATTTAACATTTAAACAGAGAGGCATTATGAGATAGCATCTTTCAGTTGTTGAGGATGATGGCCACTAAGAGTAACACAAAACCTAAGGTTCCGTGGGACAAAAACATATTGTTTTCTTTTATTTTTCTTTGTCAATTTCGCCCTTTCCTGCTACTTTTCACTGCCCTGCTATTTTCCATTCACTTCTTCATAGTTCTTTACATTTTTCCGAGGGTTCGTGAGCACTTACAGAAATTAGGAAGTGACTGTTGTGGTGGGGCGTTGTACCTTTGTGCCCATCTACGGTCATGGAAACTAGTCATTGAGGACGAGTTGCAGATCATGACTTAATTACTAAATATATACGTAATAGCTAAGCCATTTAGAGACAACAGCATATTTTTGCTTTAAAAAACGGTATAATGCATTTTGGTCATCATACAGGTCATTATATAATCTTGAAAATGCATCAGATGTGACATTTGGTTTGGAGACATAGTGGCTTAAAGAACAAAGGAAGTTATTGTAGAAAAAAGGGAAATACTTTGTTTCCCTGAAAGGACATTTTTGCATGCTGACATTTTCCACACTGAACAAGCTACTATTAATAATCCCCTTTTCCCTACTGTACGTCACAATCGCCACGTTATCTACCTGTTTAAAGTTAATATTTCTGGTCAAGTGTTCTGTTTTATTTACTTTGTATCTAGGTTTAAATTTCAGTTCCCCTTAAAAATAGAATTTTAGACTTTTACCTTATAAGTAAATGTTGGACTTTGATACTTGTCAACACCGTGATGACTGTCAGTTGTTTCTCATTATGCCAACTCTGTTCACCATGTCCAGATGTATACATGATGCTGAGACAAAAACAATTGTTTCTAGGTCCCAGCATCTATAATTTAACTTTAAAACACAACAATGTGTCTTTGGGTCCAAATAAGTCAGCATGCATCACATGTATTACTTTCCTGAAATGTGAAATAGTCTGAATTGTTTTCTTTCACAGTGGTGTTGTACAGTAGAATTTCAATCACTTGTTCAATTCCCCATTGATCACAGGAGTTTTCACTCAGTTGTAATTAGGAAAAGATATTATGGAATAACAGGAGGTCCTCAAGATCTCTGAAGAAAACGACAAACTTTTATTTATTGTACAAGGTAACATTTTTTAAAACCCCTGGGCAGAAGGACTAAGGGTATAGTGCCTACATTTTAATGCATATTATATGTATTGAAACTTAAATTCAGGATGTTAATTGTGTGTCAACATCACCATTTTTTCTAGTACGTTTAAATTAGTTACTGGTTGAAGTAATTTGTCAGATATATAACCACATATTAAATACTATTCAGTATTGTATTCTATATGAATGCAATGTCTCAATGGGAATCATCAAAGTTAGATATACAAGTGTTTTTTCACTAAATGAAAAAATATATATACAATAAACAAAATGTGTACTTAAATACACCAATCCTTTCAGTAGTAAAAATCTGTTTGATATACAAATATGCTAAAAATGTACTGTTTGTTGGCATAGTCTAAAGACATTGCGTGCAAAGTCAAAGCTTGACACATTAGTGATCCAGGAAAGGTAATAAACTTTGCATGATTATGGAACCTTTCTCTGTTCCAATGCACTGCATTGTTATACTGCAGTGTTTCTCCCTCTTTCTCTGTCTGTGGACTCCTGACAGCATGCAGAAGTGAGAGAACAGTGATGTTACTATCAGTCCAGACATCTTGGAACAAGGAAATGTGACGTTCTCTAACACTTACAAGAACTGGCCCGTCTGTGGCTTTGGACTGTGAAACACTTTCTTTCTGGCTAGCTGCTATTCTAATGCCTTACACTACTATAAAATGTGAGTGACGTGTGATTACTTCATTACTTCAAGTATCTTTATCCAAAATGTATTTTACTCAATGAAGCTTTGAAGAAAACTTGCATCCAATTATTGATCTAAAGTGCAAAAGTCACAAGTCAAGTCCTCCTTTGTGGAATGCTGCACACCCCGCCCACTCCCATCCCTCCTCTGACTGTATCAAGACAGTCCAGTTTTAAATTAACATCCCCAAGCATGCTGCCATCATCAACCAAGGTTTCGACTGGAAGCTCAGCATGTACAAAATGAATTACAAAGAGTCACAGTTCCCCAGTCCATGTAAATGAGACACAGGCTCTACTCTCGGCCTCAAAGGCCTTATTGTCAGCAGATAGCTATCTTTCTACCAGAAGCCTCCGAGCAAGGCTGCAGTGGGGATAGAAAAGTACAATTTCTTCTTGTTCCACTTGTCTTTCAATGTATTGAACAGATGGAGTGCTGGAGATGTTCAAGTAAGATTTGTAATGCCCCATTAGTACAAAGTGAACAAATAACAAGCTGTCTGTGGCAGCTGTATAAATGTCTGGTTCTAAAAAACAAGTTTGACTTAGCTAAGCTCTAGGAATGACAATGTAGAGGTGTTTAGTTTACATGTATGGATTAGGGATGTCCTAGAGATCTGCAGATACTGAGTCTCAAGTGTGTGTGTGTGTGTGTGTGTGTGTGTGTGTGTGTG